GTATTGTGAAAAGTGATTTTTTGAAAATTGTACAATTAAAAAAATAGGAAAAATTACGAGTATATATATATATATATATATATACACACACACCAAAAATCGTACCTGTAGATTTTCCGAGCTTGATGACTGGTGAGGAGCACGAACGTGATCTTCCGATACCTGAAACAAAGGCAACGAGGTGTGTTTTCGTCGCCCCTCCGATGCTTAAGTCAGAAAGGGAAATATATGCGTGAGGCTATGTGCTAAAGAACAATGTAAAACGTACCTGAATAATGGCCCAAGGTTCTGCTTTTATAGGAGTAGGTAGTGTACTCCTAGTAGGATTGTGTTGGTTGGATGTTTTTATCCAAGGGAATTTCTATTATAAGGAGTGTCCTACTTGTAATGGAATTGTTTGACAAGTGGTGTCAGGGTTGATGTAGAATCCTTGGGTGTTTAGGTTTGTTAGTTAGGTACCCGAGTCTTAGGAGCCATGTTGGTGGTGTATGTCTCGAGGACTATTCTCGAGGACATTGAAAGAATGTAAATGTGTCCTCGAGATATCTCGAGGACTGCGATACCTCGAGGACTTAGGGTGACCTCGAGGACCATATAAGAGAGATGAGGTGGGGTATATATTGAGTCCTCGGGATAAACTCCTCGGGGTATATCAATATTGGCATAGTTAATATATATATTGGAGACCATAAAGTTGAAAGTGAATTTGAAAAAAAATAAAAATAAAATTGAATTTTAAAAAATCTCTAATGAACATGGGCTAAATCTTTGTGACATCAGTAATAGAAATTAGAAATAAATAAATTTACAACTATACTAGGAACCATATGGTCTTTCTTAGGAATAAGAAAAGGAGTAATTTCACTTGCATGGGTCTCGTAGTTGGGACAGCATCATTCTTCGATCTTGGATATCAAAGACTTCAGATTTCTCTCACAATTCTTTTAAAAAATTAATAACGATTTTTTATTTTAAGAATTTGCTTTTAGACATATTTGAATATATTTTTTTAAGTGTTTTGTCTAATTAAAAATGATTTTTTTCTTTTTCTTTTCAAGAAAGCTAGTCACCATGATTTCCTCTAGAAACTCATCTACATAAAGCAAAAGCAAAAATCTTATCAAACGAGCCTTGTGCGTTGTCCATGTGTTCATCGTTTTTCTACACGACTCAAGTCACTATTTTAGCACGGCCCTGTTTGTCATCCATTATTTGAAAATTAAAGAGTTTTGAATAATATTTTTTAGAGAATGTGTGGTTAAAAAATTTAAAAACAAAATTATTGGTTTATTTGTAAAATATTTTATTGTGTAATTGTAGTGAAAAATAATATTATAGCAAACAATTTAAAATTTTAAGATTGTCAAACATAGGCTACATTAAACTAAGGATCGAGCTCCACGTACAGGAGCTCGGTTCACAGGGGTCACTGTAGGGATCGGCCCCACGAGCATTAGTAAAAAGGTGGGGCCCACCCCCCCCCAACTCCTCTCGCACCCGGCCAGGCCCCAGTACTCTTTATCTTTTTCCTTAAACTAATGAATAGATCATGAGGAAGTCCCAACTGCCCAATAAATTGAGGAGCAAGTTGCTTTTTGCCCATGTGAGGCTGGATGGCCCCAGTTGATGACAGCGAAACCACCAGTAGGTGCCCACAAAATGAAACTAAAACTTCAAAAGCGGTACAATGATGTATAATTTTAACAAAATCTGAACATGATCTTGGTAGGCTTTCTTATGAAATGAAACTGCAACACTTTCGACCTAACCAGATCTCTTCAATTATAAAACAATGGTTGGTGATGTACTACATTCCAATTAGATCTCTCTCTCTCTCTCGATCTCTCTCTCGACGATTGCATGGTCATCTTATTACTTAAAAAGCAAGCAATAATGTACATGGACCCCTAAACAAAATACAGCAATTCCTCTCTTTTATTTATGTTATTATCTGAGAAATTGCTATCAAGTGTCTTCTGGATGAATCCTGACAGCCATTTTCTGTATATGCAGCAGACTTGAACAAAATATGGAGCATGACTATATAATCTACAGTGGGAAACAAATTTTTATTTTTAATTCCGACTGGTTCTAGGCCAAATTTCGACACAAACAATTCGCTTGTGGTTTTGGAAGAATTACACTAGTGAGAAAACTGGGCTCAGCTTTGCAACTTGGCAAAGCAGTTTGGAATAACATATGAATGCTTTCCAGCAAAATAGCTGGAGCTAATATTTTGAAGATAAAACCCCACACAATATAAAAAACATAAGTTTTGTTCCCAATATATTCAGAGTCAACCATGTGAATCCTTTTAGCACATCGCTGGATCTTACTCGGAGTTCTAGCAAGTATATCCTTAGTAACTGCAATAGGATGTCAGTTTCCGTCTACCCCTATTCTATCGATATCAAGACACTACGAACAAGAGCGAGAAATTAAAAACTAACGATGCCCAACACTCGAACGAAATTTCATGCTTAATATGTGCTAATTTGACAAAATTATGATCAACAATATTAAAGGAATCAGCTGTTTCTATATGTTCCAGTTTCATCAAAATAACATACAAATTACAGAAAGGGGAAGTAAAAGAGACAACTTTATTCTCTTAAACCACCCCTCAATTCAAGAATAATGATATAAAGTAAAGCAAAATGAAAAAAGAGCATTAACTCAAACCCCTTTTCCACCCCCATCTTCCTATATAAGAGAATCATCCAAAATCTTTAACTTTTTGCCCACAAATTTCTTCTTCATCAAGGTAAAAAAGGAGGCATACCAGTATAATCTTATCGTGAGCACCATTAATTTAAATCAAGAATTGCTGTCAATGAGGTGTACCTTTAGCCCTCTTTCTGGCCTCACTGTAAAGCACCACCCCCATTATTGTTACCGCAAAACCCGTCATCCCCATCACAGTCACCGGATTCCTGAATATCAAGACCGACACAACCGCAGCCACCGCAGCTTTGGCGTTCCCCAAAACTTGCAGTGTCAAAGCACTTGTGTGCTTCGTGACCAAAAAATTCATCAAATTAACCAAATACGCAACTGTGGCATTCGCAATCAATAAAAACACCATAAATCCATCTTCCCTCCCCTTTTTAATTGTGACAGCCAGAACATTCCCTTCAATATACAGAGTAAATGGCAGCAACACCAATGCTGCCATTGGAGCCATGTACAGCAACAGATTCATAGAGTGCAATTTCTCAGCTTCTGAAGTCAATAATAATCCCTGGACCACAGATTTCAACGCTCGGCCAGCGGTCGAGCCAATGCACATCAAGAACCCAAAAAGATGGAACAGGGGCTCACTATTACTAGCCAAAACGATACCTAGAACTACAGGAACCAGAGCCAAATAAACCTCCGCAGACTCTTTCTTACAAGTGATAACAAAAGCAAAAATGGCTGTAAAAAATGGGGTAGTAGCACCAACAGCTTGATTAAACGACACTGGAAGGTACCTCAATGAAGTATTCCCACAAACAACAGAGAAACAGAAAATCACACTCAATGCAAGAATCTTGAAGAACTGCTTCCGGCTATTTATTTGCTGGAACGGCACAATTTCGAGAAATTTTATGGCTAATAAACTATAGGCAGCACAAGACAACATGTGCAACATAGTCAAGAAAATTGGGTACTTGTATCCATAAAAACTTAACAAGTATTTATTGAGCAATAGCACTCCGATATTAGAGAAATACCAGGATGCAATAATGGCTGCTGTAAGAACATTGGGCGAGATCAAAGCATATTGCTGCTGCCTGATTTCTGCAGTTGGGGTTTCTGGACTATCAAGAACTTGGTCATTGTTACTTTCAAGTCTTGGGTTGCTGCCCCTTCTGGTAGTCCATGACTGTGCCTCCACCATTACAAAATCTTGCACAATAGGACTAAAAAATAGCTATCCTCTTCTGCTATACAAAGTGTCTCTGTTAATGTAAATAGTAGTGTGTGTGTGTGTGTGTGTGTGTGTGTAGATCTGGTTGAGTGGGGGTCGGGTGATATCATAGCATGGTGATGAGTGGATCTAGTTCGAGGGTAGGGATTTAGATTTGTTAGGGTAGAAAGAAGGACAACCGTCGATGAGGGAGTATGGAGTATTTATTAGTAAAAAATGATTATATATGTCGTGGGTGGGACCAGGGAGTGTCGGTATGATAGTTGTTTGAAGAAGTATTCAGGGTTAATTACCTGAACATCACTAACTTTGCGTGAAATTTCCATCTAGTCATTGAACTCTAAAAATTATCTCATTAATCAGTGAACTTTGTAATTCGCTATTCCATTTATCACTCACTCAACAAAAGGTTAAAAAATTGACTAATTTGTTAACTTAGCTGACGAAATTGTGTACCTGGCAATCTATTTTTAACTTAACGTTCATGTCGGTAGCAATTTAATATTTGAGTGATGAATGGTATAACGAATTTTGAAGTTCAGTGATTAACGATGTAATTTTTAAAATGTAGTGACCCGATAAAAACTTTATGTAAAGTTTAGTAATTATTCAGGTATTTAACCATATTTTCTCGGGTTCTTTTATCATCTTTTTTGTTATTTTGCACTTTTGTTTCCATTTTTATGAATCTTCATGTTTTTTCTAATTTTTTTTTTTCTATTTCTATACTATTATCGAGTAGTTTTATTCTCTCTAGTATCACCGAATTAAACTACATTGATCACTTTATAGTATTCAACTTTGAAATTCATACATATCTTTAGCAAAAAAAATATAATAGATTTTCTAGTTTTTATGTAGGTAAGTTGATGGAAAGAAGATTGAAGCTGAAGTATTCCATTGAACTGTCACACATCGCTATAGAGCTCACCAGAAAAGAGGTGAAATCAGCACAAACAGCATTACTTTAATCTTTGCTTGGACACTAGAACTCACACACCGATAAGAGAATTTGGTTTTGAGTTTAAGATCAATTTGCAATGATTAAATGTATCGTTTTTGGATACCATTTTACACTGCAAAGTTTAATGGTTTCATTTAACAATGAATAAGAAAAAAAATAATTAACAAGAAAGCAAAATATTTAGACAAAATTGGACAACAATGCGAAGCTCTTGGGTTTCATCGAGAAACTAGAAGCAGCTTGTATTGGTGTGGTAGAGCCTTGAAAGATGACCGAGGATCTTGTCCTCAATATCCATGGATCCAAGTGAGTGACCATTGCACCGTTATTTCAAGTCATAAGTCTTAAAGTCGTCCTACTTTTTTTTCTGAACAAGTGGAAGAATGATTCCTTTTTTTTTTTTTTTTATATCCAGGTATCCCAGCTTTTATCAGACTAAATCTTGGACCTCCAAGACCCATGCCCCTAGAATCTTGGAGGGGGTAAATCACGGGTTATGCCTCAACTGGATCACAGATTCCCCCCATTGTGCTGCTCATCATTATGCAGTCTTTTATAATGTTATAGGCTTGGCTAAGACAGGTACTTGAACATTAAAGAGTTCATCAATACTGTGATAGGTGAGCTCAAAGCAAAAATTTCTTTCTAAATTAATTAGCTAAACTTTGCGTAAAGTTTTCACCAGGTCACTAAACTTTAAAATTACTCGTTAATCAGTAAATTTTGTAATTCATTATACCATCAATCACTTAGTTTTTAAATTGCTATTGACGTGGACATCAAGTGGGAAATAAATTGCCACATACGCAATTCCATCAGTCACATTAGCAAATTCGTCAATTTTTAAGCCATCCGTTAAGCGAGTTATGGATGGGATAACGAATTACAAAGTTAGGTGATTAACGGAATAATTTTTAATGTTTGGTAATTCGGTAGGAACTTTATGCAAAGTTTAGTGATGATTCAAGTAATTAATTCAAAGTATTCATTAATAAATGTAGAATAATGCTCTTCGTAGTGACTGACTAAAATAGTCATCCTATGTGACATCATATTTTAGCATAATTTTGATTGAATACGGAAATTCATTTCATGGGTTCCATATTTCAATTATAAAAATCATGTCAGAATAGGATGCCATATAGGATGGCTATTGTAAGAACTCACTACTAATAAAATTTCTCATAAATATATTATAGATTTTTATTTATACGAGAATTGTCCAATTTTAGACTCATTTTTAAAAGTTTATTTTTTGCTTAAACTCATTTTTAATCATACATTTTTTTCATAAATTTATTTTTTCTCTACTTTTATTCACATATTTTTCCAAAAAAAAAAATCACTATTAAAAAATTTATTCTCACAAAAAATGAGGTTCAAATAAACCAATATATCTTTTAAATTTTTTTAAAAATATCACTAATTTTCCTTATTTTTATTTTTTAATATTACATATGTCTTTGACAATTTTTGAGCCACATATAATCTAAAACGAGGATAATATACCTAAAATATTCATGGATTAATTTTTATCATAATTTTTGTTGACATCCGAACTTTGATCTAATAAAAACAGTTCGCTAACCCCACCTCAGTTAAATTGAGTTCGGTCCTTACTCTCAGGTCGAACAATCCCGCCTTTATCTCAGAAAACACATCTTGATTACCCCCTGTCACATCACCCTATCAATCAAATGCACTTGCCACAGGTGACATCATCACCGCTCGGAACAATCAATCCTAAGTCATCAACCTCCAGCCTCGTGCAGGTCATCATTACCTAGGAAAACATTGACACATGGCCACCAGCCTTATCGACCAATCACAAGAGAATCCGGCACCCTGAGTTACGAGCTCGGTACTGTTACTGATTTGACTGATTTGATGTAATGTCAGCTGAAACTATGTATAAATAGTTGAATAGGACTCTTGTAAAGGGCAAGTGATTTCATACAACAACTC